GAGACATTTGTGGTTGTTGAAATTGGAAGAAGAGTACCAGGCATGCAGCTAAATATCCTATAGTTATAGAATGGTCCAGACAACAGAGAATTATCAAGCCAGAAACATGTCTTTGGCTTACCAATATGATGGAAAAGACAATACAAAAACACGTCTCCTTCCAGACTATAATAATGTAATCTGCTCTGCAATTTGTAACATTGCTCAGTAGGGGATGTCTGAAGAAAAAAAAAAAAGAAAGATCCTTTTTAGTTGGAATTCCAACAAAATTAGGATACGAATAGCCATGTCTTGTTTGTTTGTTAATTTTATATCCAGTCATCTGCCTGGACCACACAAGAATTCAAATGCTGGTGGGAGACAGTGGATTTTCATTTTCTCATGATTGCTCTGTCGTGAAGCTGGTAAATAATTCAGGAGCATAGTAGAGGCCAGTGACCAAGTGACACCTGGTGCTATATTGTCCATGTCTAAGTACACAGACTCCAAAGATGACACTCTGCACCTGTCACCATTGTTCTGCCTTAATCATGGGTCTAGTGTTCAGTGACTATGGATTAGTAGCAATTAATATTTGTCCCAAGCTTCCTCCACAAAGAATCCTGCACTGGGCACTTTCTTTCTCTTTTTTTTAAAGTTTTTATTTATTTAAAAGATTTTTGTTTTTCATTTTTACATACAAACTACAGTTTCCCCTTCCTCCCCTCCTCCTGCTCCTCCTCCACCTTCCATCCACTCCTCAGTAAGGGTGAGGCCCCCCATGGGGAGTCAACAAAGTCTGGCATATCAAGGATCAAGCCTCTCCCTGCTACATCCGTCCATAGGAATGGGCTCCAAAAAGCCAGTTCATGCTCTAGGGGTAAATCCTGGCCCCACTGCCAGTCACCTTACAGATGGCCCAAGCCACATTCAGAGGGCCTAGTTTGGTCTTATGCAGGTTCCCCAGCTGTCAGTCCAGCCAGTGAGCTCCCACGAGCTTGGGTCAGATGTCTCTGTGGTTATCCCCATCCTGGTCTTGACCCCTTTGCTCATATAATCCCTGCTTCCTCTCTTCAATGGGACTCATGGAGCTCCGCCCAGTGCTTAGCTGTGGATCTCTGCATCTGCTTCCATCAGTTACTGGATGAAGGCTCTATGATGACAACTAGGGTAGTCATCAATCTGATTACGGGAGAAGGCCAGTTCAGGCACCCTCTCCTTTATTGCTGGACGTCTTGGGCTGGACACTTTCAAAAGCACAAATCAGAAACAGCACCCTCTTAGGTTCCCCCCACACCCCATATCTATTCTCTCTCTTAAAGGATGGGTTCGTTTTAAAAAGTAGGGGTAAGACTCAGGAACATTCAATCCCGTGCCACCCCCTTCTCTCTCTCTCGCATCCCCACCCCTCTCCCTCATCTATCTGTGTAGCCAGGCTGGTTTCCAACTCCTGCTCACCCAGCTTGGCACCCCAAGCCCTGAGATTCCAGACGTCTGGCTTGATTTCTTTCCAGTGAATATTGTGAATATCACACTATTCGTATTACAAATATCTTCTGAGAGAAATTACATCTCCTCAGCCCCTCTCCCTAGAGCCTGATTAGCCCATTGCACCTGGGCAATTCTGACAGTTTAAAAACTAAGACAAGCTCTAGGCAATGCAGCTGTCTAGACATGGAAGGCTCTTCCACACCCTGAGAGATGAGAGCAAATAGCTACAAGACAATGTGGGGAACTGAGCCCAGAATCAACTAGAATCAAACAGAGCTTAAGCCAGGAGCTACAAGGAAAGATCTTAGGAGGTGATGGGGAAGATCTGCCTCGGAAATCAAAAGTACAGTTTTTTACATCTACATAACAATCATTATTTTATTTATGTTCATGTGCACATGTATATATTTATACACATGTAAATATATGTCATGTAAACATGTATATATATCATACTGAGTCCATTTAGCTTTACTCATGTACATGGAATTGCCCCTGTCCATGTTAGCATGTCAACTAGCGCTGTCACCATGCTGCCCTTCTTCAGGCAACCATATTGTTGAGAGTTCATGGGTTCAGCTTCCTTGTCATATCTCACAGCAGACATTCTGATCTTCTGACTTATGGTTTTTCTATACCCTCCTCCTGGATTTTCCCCTTAGCCTTAGGTATAGGGTGCAGCATTGCAGATGTATCTGTTGGGGTTAGCACTTCATAGTCACTCACTCTCTGCACTTTGGCTGATTGTAGTTGTCTGTGGTTATCTCTGTAATTGTCTGTAGTTGTCTCTGTGGTTGTCTGTGGTTGTCTCTGTAGTTGTCTGTAGTTGACTGTAGTTGTCTGTGGTTATCTGTAGTTGTTTTTGGTTGTCTCTGTAGTTGTCTGTGGTTGTCTCTGTAGTTGTCTGTAGTTGTCTCTGCTGTACTTGTCTCTGTAGTTGTCTGTGGTTGTCCCTGTAGTTGTCTCTGTGTTGCCTGTAGTTGTCTCTGCTGTACTTGTCTCTGTAGTTGTCTGTGGTTGTCTCTGTAGTTGTCTGTAGTTGTCTCTGTAGTTGTCTGTGGTTGTCTCTGTAGTTGTCTTTGGTTGTCTCTGTAGTTGTCTGTAGTTATCTCTGTAGTTGTCTTTGGTTGTCTCTGTAGTTGTCTGTGGTTATCTGTAGTTGTCTGTGGTTATCTCTGTAGTTGTCTGTGGTTGTCCCTGTAGTTGTCTGTGGTTGTCTCTGTAGTTGTATGTGGTTATCTGTAGTTGTCTTTGGTTGTCTCTGTAGTTGTCTGTGGTTATCTCTGTAGTTGTCTGTGGTTATCTCTGTAGTTGTCTGTGGTTATCTGTAGTTGTCTGTGGTTATCTGTAGTTGTCTGTGGTTATCTCTGTAGTTGTCTGTGGTTGTCTCTGTAGTTGTCTGTGGTTATCTGTAGTTGTCTTTGGTTGTCTCTGTAGTTGTCTGTAGTAGACTCCGTAGTTGTCTGTGGGTGTTTGTGGTTATCTCTGTAGTTGTCTGTAGTTGTCGGTGGGTGTCTGTAGTTGTATCCATCTATTGTGAGAAGAAGCTTCTTTATGGGAGGTGCCAGCTACAGCTAGGAACAGAAACTTCAGTGTTTACAATTCAGCTAGAATTTGTCATTTAGGAAAATGGCAGTAGAAGCTTTTCCTTCCCGGTCTTTGACCTCTCTGGTCATGGGCAGTTGACTGAGTTTACAGTACTAGGAACAAATTTCCTCATATTGAGTGGAGTTTAAGTCCAATCAAACAGATGTTCTTACTCTTGTAATAGAAGTGTTATTGCTTTACTGTTGGGGGTATCTTGCTGGTCTAAACATTGCTGTGGTTCATAGGCTTAACAGCTGGGTAAGACTACCAATGGCTTTTTCCTTGGCAACCTGCATAGTATGGAAGGGAGAATGTTTTATTGTTTGTTCTACTTTAGCTACTTTGAGGTGACTGGAGAGAGAAACTGGATGAGATTCACCTTGAACTTCCAGGTTATTCACTGTACTCTTGGAACTTGGAACTATTTTACACTTTAGGGAAGTTCCCTTAGTCACAGGGGACTTCAGAGAGGCCTCTAGGGCTCAGGGGAATTCCCCCAGCTTTCCTATCTAGGCTAGGGTATAGTTCAGCTCAACCCCCAGGGCAGAAGTCCATGTGCCCAGGGCAGAGGTCAGTGTGCCCAGGGCAGAGGTCAACAGGACAAAGGTAGTGTTTAGGTCTTTGAACTGATTGAAGATTACAGGATAACATTCCCTCTTGAATTTGGAAGACCTACATCCTCCCCTACACAGAGCAAATGCAATATGCCTCTTTCACTAGGGTTGGAGATAAGAGGACACAGGACCCATCAGCAGGTGCTGGCTCCCCAGACAGGTAGGCAAGGTCTCCAAAACAGACTGACAAGGATTTTGGAGAATACATTTAAAAACAAAACAACAACAACACAACAACAACAAAAACTTCCTCAAATTCAGACACATTATTGAAAGGTTTTTAACAATTTTACAGTTTTCTTATGAGAGAAAACCCTCACTAAGGCATATCCTGGGTCCATTTAGATTTCTAATGCTATAGCTCTTACAACCCCCTCTTCTAAACAAACACATTTTGAAGCTACAAATTGCATCTCTTTCCATATCAAATGCACGATCTCTCAATATCTCTCCTTCCATATCAAATGCATGGTCTCTCAGCATCACATGAGGCTAGTGGATGTCCTTCCCTCCCCAGAGAGTTCATGCCTTTCTTACTGTGTTTCCTTCACTTGTACTTTGAGTGACTCTGACATAAGTGATTAGTTATTGTGCTTCTAATTTGTTTCTCCTTGAAGAAAGGATCGGGTCTTTCTCAAGTCTTCTCACCTCTCTGCCCAGTACAGGCTTACAGAATGTATGGAGTATAACAGGTAAAAACTTTCTGGAATTCCTGAAAGTCATATGGACATTTTCCCCCTTTCTATTTATTTAAATGGGCTTACTAGGTATCCTGGTCTCACATCTGTTGTCATAGTAGAATACTCCAACAAAGCACATGGGGGGGGGTGTTTTGGCCTGCCGTTCCAGGCTACAGTCCATCACTGCAGCGAAATCAAAGCAGGAACTTGAGGCAGCTGATTGCACCCAAAGCCAAGAACACACAGAGAATGAACATATGCCTGAAAGTTCTCAACTTACTTTTGACATGTAGACAGTCCAGGATCCCCAAAGAAAGGGCCCAGACCTGTTACTCTTCTCACGTCCTACATGGTGACTGCAAAAAGTACAGTTTTTAAAGAGCTTGGCCATTAAAAGGCTCTGGAGAGTGCAGAGATTTTTTTAACCTAGAAATTATTAAATGTGCTTTATCTCTGGTTCTAAAGTATTCATTACAACGAGTTTTAAACATATTTATTAAAATATTTTCTATTTTAAAATGTTGTGATATCTATAAGCATATAACTACACATGATAGAATGTAACTGTGTATAAAGAGAGTAAAAATGTTTTAAACATGTGTGTGCATATTTGTTTGCTGGTCTTACTGTTGTGCTATATTTCCCCCAGGGCCCGGCGTGGGAGTGCTTGGAGCTCTGACTGCCCTCTGGTGGTGAACCGGTGTCAACACATTGTATGACCTGAGATGCCCACTCTTGATCACGTGGTACCCCATTGGCCGCAAGGGGCCAGCAGAAGACTGGTGTTAACATATGACTGATGAAGAAGTCTAATGAAACAGCCCTTCACTTCTACTTGAATACCCCTTTACCCTGGATTTGGAGTCTGGAGGCAGCTCTGAGATGGGGCCCCTGAAGGACGACTTCAGTTCTTCCTGCATCCTTGCCAAGTAGCCAAGACTTAATAGGTGCCTGTAGAGGGAGCATGCGGTGACATGGAGCCGGAAATCAACTGCTCTGAATTTTGTGATAGTTTTCCTGACCAGGAGCTGGATCGGAGACCTCTTCATGATCTTTGCAAGACGACCATTGTAAGTGAGCGGTCACGGGCATCGGGGCTCCTCATAGATACAGTGGTGGGGATGGTGGTGGTTGCCGTTAGAGATAGGGGTGGAGGGAGAGGAGCTGCCCGTGTAGGACAAGCATCGCCCAGCTTTGGTGCCGTCTATAGAGTCTTCATTCTCGTTTGTTTTGAGATAGGGTTTCTCTGTGTAGCCCTGGCTGTCCTGGAACTTGTTCCGTAGACCAGGCTGACCTGGGACTTACAGAGATCCTCCTGCCTTTGCCTCCCGAGTGCTGGGATTAAAGGCATGCACCACAACACCCACCAGTTCCTTCATTCTTAACATCTTTTTTTTCCTACCTCCAGACTGATTCACAACACAGCGGTACAGACGCCTCTCCACTGTCTCCCGCCCTCTTGGGCGTTGTTTGGACTTTTCTCAGCTGTGGACTACTTCTGGTGCTTTTCTTTCTTGCTTTCACAATTCGCTGTAGGAAGAACAGGTAAGCAAGCCTCCTGCCCATATTCTCACCTCCTATAGCCAGAGCTGGGCAAACCCAGAGTGCTAACATCATCTTGGTTCCATGAGCAGCTAGCCAGCATCCATCAGCACGAAGCCTGTGATGGGGAGACCTTGTCTTTCATGCTCCCCGTGTGCCTCTAGCATTTAGAACAGATGGGCACTCAGGAAATGTTTTTGGTGGTCTTGGAGGGAAGACCAATCCAAGCGGTAAATGCCGCCAAGAAAATTACTGGGGAACGCATGTGTATCGGGGTTAGAGAACTACAACGGTTCTATAATGTAAGTGAGTGCCCCATCAGCTAGTTATACAAGGACAGCATTGTCTCACATGTGATTTGCTCCCAGTAAACCAGTAGTTGGAAGCATTCAGGAGCAAGCTCTGACAGCTGAAACAAAAGAAACTTTGGGATGGAGAGGTGACTGGGTTGGTAGAATGCCTGCCCAGCATCTGCAAAGCCCAGGTTCAGTCTCCAGCACCACATGTAACTAGGTGTGGTAACACTTGCCTGTAATCCAGAACTCATGGGGCAGGGGAGAGGCAAGAAGATTAGGAATTCAAAGTCATTGTCTTAGGGTTCTATTGGTGTGAAGAGATATCATGACTACAACACCTCTTATAAAGGAAAGCATTTCATTGGGGCTGGCTTATAGTTTCAGATATTTAGTCTATTATATGGAGAGTCACATAGTGGCACACAGGCAGACATGGTGCTGGAGAAGGAGCTGAGAGTTCCACATCTTGATCTATAGTCAACAGAAGGAGACTGGGTACCAGATGGCATAGCTTGAGCATATAAAATCTCTAAGCCTGCCCCAACAGTGACACACTTCTTCCAACAAGGTCACACCTACTCCAACAAGGTCACACCTCCTAATAGTGCCACTTCCAATGAGCCAAGCATTCAAACACATGAGTCTCCTATTCGAACTACCACAATCGTCCTTGATTATAGCAAGTTTGAGATAGAGTCTTCCTTCCAAGCCATTGAGAGGGCCAGTGGGTAAAGGAGCTTGCTGCCAAGCTTGCTGATGACCTGAGTTTGATTCCTGAGATCCCCACATGGGAGAGGGAGTGAACTAGCTGTTACACGTTTTTCTCTGACCTACACACACACCAACACACACACACACACACACACACACACACACACTTTCAACCTCCCACCCTCCAAAAGGAAAGAGAGCCTTAACCTGAGAATACCATGCAGTGCACTCCCTTAGCCAAGTAGTGGCCAGTTCAATGGCTTAAGGAGCCATGACTTCCCTGTCTACAAAACTGAAGGACTAGAAGAGGACACAGAGGAGGCATTTTCCTATGTTAAAAACAGACAAGCAAAATTCCTTGATTGTTGGAGAGTCCATTTAAAATTTTAGTGACAACATTGTCTATGGAGGATAAATGCCATAGGACCTATATCTTGAGACTTAAGGCTACAAAAGTAAGCTGTGATTCTGGATACAGAGCATTATGAATATTTACTGAGGGTCAGTGCCTTAATTGGGAGAATTAGTATTTTGTTAGGATTTGCTACAAAGTTAAATGCAGTTTGAGTGTTATGCTTTCAAGAACAACCTAGTGTTTTCCTTCTGACCGAGACCCATAATTTTTATATGTAATTTTTCACCAGGCAGGGTTGATAAAACATTGGGGTGAGGTGCTTCAAAGGTTAAGAGCTCTGGCTGCTCTTCCAGGTGACCCAAGTTTGACTCCCAGCACCTAAATGACAGCTCACATCCTGCTGTAACACCAGTTCCAGAGCACCCAACACCCTCTTCTGGTCTCTCAGGGCACCAATCACACATGTGGTATACAGACATGCATGCAGACAAAATACCCATACACAGAAAATTCAATGTTTTTACATGGGGTTTCCCTATGTAACAGCCATGGCTGTCCTGAAACTTGCCTGGAACTGTGATCTGCCTGCCTCTGCCTCCCAAGTGCTGGGATTATAGGTGGGTGCCACCACCACCCAGACTTAAAAGCATTATCAGACATTTACACTATTAAAACAGAAACCCCATTAGTTCAAGGCCAATCTGGTCTACAGAGTGAGTTCCAGGACAATAGGCTTATACAGAGAAACCCTGTCTCAAAAAACAAAAAGAAAGAAGGAAGGAAGGAAGGAAGGAAGAAAGGAAGGAAGGAAGGAAAGAAAGAAGGAAAGAAGGAGAGAAAGAAAGAAAAAGAGTGCCTTACTGAACAGTAAAATTTGAGCAGCATTATTTCAGTTGAGGTCCTGTGTGTGTGTGTGTGTGTGTGTGTGTGTGTGTGTCCTGCATGTGTGTGTGCAAGTGATTACACATGAATGTCAGAAAAGTATTTTAGTTGTAGACATTGCATTTTTTAATTTTACAATAAAGTTAACGTGGCCAACAACAGAAAATCAGTAAAGACCTAGGAAACTTGACCTAACTGATACTTGTATAACTTGTATAACCCTCCACCCAACAATAGCACAATAGCAGACTCAGTCACATTGTTTATAAGGACCCACAGAACATTTACCAGACCTGGAAAGATTCTAGGCCCTAGAATCTTTAACTGGGGCATGGTGGTTCATACTTGCAACCTCAGCACTCAGGAAGTAGAGCCAGTAGAGCAAGTCAGACACCCAGTCCATACAGTAAATTCTGGAACAGCTTAGACCCTGTCTAAAAGACGGAAACAGATGAAAAAGAAAGGAAAGGAGGGAAGGAAGGAACGAATGAACGAAAGACAATTTAAAAGAAATCGAGTCATACAGAGTATGTTCACTGAATAAATTGGAATGAAATTGAACTCAGGAAATTCTAAAATACACAGAATCTACTTAGAGCACTCTAATAAAACCATCCTCTAAAAAGGAATCAAAAAGAAAAGTAGAAAGTAACTTGGACTGAATGAAAACAAATATGTACCAACGTTGTTTAGTCTCATCAGGGTAGTACCTTGGGTATTCATCTCTTTATTTGATATGAAGAAAGGTCCCAATTGAAATCTCATCCTCACCCATACAAAAAAAAAGTAAAGAACAAATGAGCCTAAAACAAATCATGGAAAGGAAATGATAAAGATCAGTAGAAATCGATAAAATAAAAAACACAAAGTAATAAGAAAAAAATAAATAAAACCCAAAGCTACTTCTTTATAAATACCAGTAACATTGACCAAGTTCTGGTCAAACTGATGGGGGCCAAAGACACAGCCAAATGAGGGATGGAAGAATAACCCAATCACAGTTACATCCCCCTCCTCTGTCTCTGTCTCTGTGTCTCTGTTTCTCTCTGTCTCTGTCTCTATCTCTGTCTCTGTCTCTGTCTCTCTGTCTCTGTCTCTCTCTGTCTCTCTGTCTCTCTGTCTCTCTGTCTCTGTCTCTCTCTCTCTCTCTCTCTGTCTGTCTGTCTGTCTGTCTCTCTCTCTCTCTCTCTCTCTCTTTCTTGTTGATCCCAAAATCCATATGAAGAACCTAGAATACCCAACACAGATTTCAAAAAACATAGTCATTAAGAAGCACCCGATTTCAGGGCTGACCACACAGCTGCAGGAAAAAAGCTAGGTACTGGCAAAGATGGACACATACACTGACACAAAGAACACACATAAACCTACATTTCTGTGGACTGTGGATACCAACCAAGAGCAAAGGCAATTTCCTGGCAAGGCAAGTTCAGTCTTTTCAACAAATGGCACTGGAAAAACTAGATACCCACGTGCAAGAATTACCTTTGACCTATACCATGTACCATGTTCAAAAATAAAACCCCAAACTGTAATGTTTACTTAAGAATAATAGAAAAATTGCGATCTTAGAAAAATATTCCTTGAATAAAATATCAAAAGTATAGCCATAAAAGAAAATGTTAAAAAAATTGGGTTCATAAAAATGAAATAACCTATCTTCCAAAGACAGACTTGAAAGTATGAAAAGAAAAGGCCATGAATTGAAATATTTATAAATCTAATAAAAATACTTTTGTTTGTGTTGGCATACACTGTTAGTAAGAATGCATTCTGGCAAAGCTATTGTGAAAAACTAGTCCACAAGTTTCTCTCAAAATTCAGTCTTACCCAGAAACCACACTCTTGTTAAGAGAAATGAATCTATGTCTATAGAAAGACTTACAACCAATGTTTGTACCAACTATGGATATGGGCCCGGGAGGTAGTTGACTTGGTCAGTATGGGCTTCTCCAGGGACTGCCCCACTCAGGCAAAGGTCAGGGCCAGCTCTCCCACACCCATGCCATCAGGGTCATCTCTCCATGCTCGTGGTGAGAGCTGGGACCAGCTCTCTGACATGCAGGACCAGTTCTGTTGCTGAAGCTGGTGTGAGGAGGGCAGTTCTCCCAGAACCCTTGAGGGTTGGGGCCAGCTCTCCCATGCCCATGCCACTAGGGCCAGTTCTCCCAGGAGAGGGGTGCAGCTCTCTCACTGAGGCACCCAGCAAGGAGCAGGGCTAGCTCTCTGGTGCCCAGGCCACCAGGGCCAGGTGTAACATGGGCCACAGACATCATCATGAGCTCTGGCTGCCTTTGGGCCACAGACCCAGACATGGACCTCTGGCTGCAGCTCAGACACATCACCATGACCTCTGGTGGCCTTGCAGGTCACTCAGTTCAGCCCTTGGACATCAATATGGCCCCAGGTGGCAGCCCAGACCACAGGCTTCCCTATGGCCTTTAGTAGTATCACAGACCCCAGCTGTGCAGTAGGGTCAGGGAATCTGATGATGCCTTCTTCTGGCTTCCATAGGCAGCGCACACACATGGTGCACAGACATGTGTTTAGGCAAACACTCACACACATAAAATAAAAATAAAGGTTATACAAACATTCTTTAGTTTCTGAGAAAGCTCTCATGGGGACTAAAGTATATGATAGCAGGTATGTCTTTTTTGTTGGTGGTGGTTTTTGGTTTCTCAAGACAATGTTTCTCTGTGTATCCCTGGCTGTCCTGGGACTCACTCTGTAGACCAGGCTGACCTCAAACTCACAGA